ACGGGACCGGCGAAGTACGAAGTCCGAACGGGAAGCGGAGGCGGAGTTAGGGGGAGAACGCACGGGGGTTGACCGATGCTGCTATTCGGGCAACCCTCGGAAGAACAGTGGAATCACAAGGATAACAGAATCGACACGGGTGACCGGTCGGGCTACAAGTCTTATATAGGCAACTATAGGCGGGGGCCCGATTGGTCGGCCGAGTGTCGGACGAGTAGGTCGACCGACGGTTGTTGCAAGGTCGAGGAGTCGACCGAGGCGGTCAGCCGGTTGGTCGACAGACGAGGTGGACCGTATGTCCGACGAGGGTCGACGTAGGTCGACCCGCTTCCGAGCGGAGTGGTCGGACGAGTATCGGTCGAGCGGGGAAGTGGAGGTAGAGGAGATACGGGTGATCTCCGTGTGTACGGTGACGGACATACGGGGATCTCCGCTGAAGGTCATGGGTCGGTAGACCGGGCCATGACAAGTATAAGTGATGAATCGATGGGTAGTTGGGGTTTCCGAGCCACCTTTATATAGACGCCATAATGGGGTGGCATGTATAGAGAATACAAGTGCGGGAATGTTACGCACTGGCTTCCCACCGTCACACATTTCCAATGTGCTAATTTGTCATTCGACAGTGTGAAGGACAGCAGGTTGACAAGGTTACAGTTCATTTTGGGGCAGGTGACTGCTGCAGACGACCTCCCTCAGAGTATGAAGATGAAGGCACCCGCTGGCGCAGCATTGCCGCATGTAGCTCGCAGTTGGAAGTCACAAGTCCACAGAGCTCCACAGGACAGGGTACATTGGCATTCCAGGTTGTGCCTCTTTAGCTCGTACATGCCTCATTTGCTTCCATTGTCTGCGAGTTGCGGCATTCGATTACGTACCCAGGATAGCCCAAGTCGAGGACGGCCGGTGACGAGGTGAGCCGAGGTCGGCTGCCCCGACTTGGGGCGCGTGGGGAGGGCAATTGAGAGCGGGGCATGGTACTGCATTGCAGATAGGTGCTACGTGCGGGGGTCAACAGGAATGCGGCGGTCATACAGCGATCACAAAGCGACGGCTCAGGTCACGGGATTTTGCCCGCTTGCCAGATCGCCACACTGTGCTTGAACCGCATTGCTACACCCCATGTATAACCTGTATCTACTTGACTGATCGACTGCTCGTATGCGATCACATAAAGAACGAAATTTCTGCAATTTACAGAACACCTGTGCTCTAAGTACACGCCTCCCTCACATGAACACCTTTTCGATCCACTTCGTACGTTTTCCAGATGGGTAAACAGTAGCTCATGACGTCGCACGAGACCTCCAGGTCAGTTTCGCAATGAATGTGAAGAAGGGACTCGACGATGCGGCGCTCCACCGATGTGAAGAGCACTTCGACGAATCCATCTGCATTCTCTCTGGCGGCGAAGAGGGCGTATGCGGCGGTAAGGTTGCAGACAATAGTGTTGACGAAAGGCTGACTCAGAAGGCTGGGCGTGTCACAAATGAGCTTGAGCTGGGTCGACCACATGCTGCAGGCGTCCGCGACAACGCTAATAGAGGATGTGTGGTAGAGATTGTTGAGCGCTGATGTCATAACATGGAGTGCAGGGGACGTACCATATGTAAAGTCGAGCCATCTCGTGTTGTACTCGTCAATGGCCTGCCGCCGACGGTACTCTATAACCCACGGGCCTGGCCACAGAGTATCGAACTGAAACCCGAAGAAGTGGAAGGTGCCGGCTTCATGAGGTTCGGGCTGTTGAGGGAGATTGAGGGATAAGGAAGGGAGACGTATCGGGAAGCAGGAAAGCGAATCATGCTTGAGGGTGGGTGGAGTGGCCGTGCTGCTGGCAAGCGACAGAGAGTCTCGATCAGCAGGTGGTCTGGCCACACCGGTCGTCAGCTTGGGATATTCCTTGGCTGCGGTCAGCGTTGTCATCCTCAAGGTCCAAGTCACCAGGAGTAGCCTCCTCACAAGCATGGAGGCTGTCAGAGCTGCCTTGACTGAGGGAGTCCCCTGTCCTCCTCACATTCGGTAAGCCGGTCCCCGCTGAGACATTGTGCAGGAGGGAAGGAGTCGAGAGACACGCGAGAGACGAGACTGAATAAGACGAGCGGGAGGAGATCGAGCGAGCTTTCATAAGTCAAGGTGGCCGAGATGCAACAGACGCTTACAGTGTTCACTGTCGTTGTTGAGAAACGTCGCATCGGTAAAGATGTGAGCGTGTTCTTGTTCCGGGGATCGGCTCATGGTGGATGTTGCTCGAGTCTGTGACGAAGGTACGGCCAACAAGCGTGGCAAATCGGCAACCAGCGAGACCAGCGAGTTGTCGAGCTGTAATTCAGGACGTTGCTGACTTTCTCGAAGTATCCGCAAGGAGGATCAATCTGGTTGAGTGATGGAGGGAGTGGGAATGAAGCCGAGTGCCTTCAGAACGGTTCAAAGAGCGACGAGAGTGGGGCGTGAGGGGGAAAGCAGATGAGTGAGGAGAAGTAAGTGAGAGACGAAGAAGATAGTGAAGACAAAGTGAGTTGTTCATCCAGAGGCCAGTGTCAGTTGGAGCAAGGAAGGTGGTTGCGTGGATGTTAGCCGGCAGGCTTAAGTGCTGGCTCAATCGTTCTCGTTCTACATCCACGCTACTACGCTCAGTTGCCTCCCCGCTTGAGTGCGAAGGAACTTGTCCACCTTTCGGTGGCGGAGAACTTGAGTGGTCTGCAGTTCAGCATCATCTCAGCACCAGTTAATATCAGTCATCATGCTGCGCGTCGTTATAACATGCAACGCGATGAGTGCCAGAGTCATTGGAGGCGAGTGGCAACTGTGGCTGAAGGAGGAACGGAAGAAGGAAGGAGCGCTGCATTCCCGGGGCATCCACGTCACCGGGTGAACGACACGATCTCTCATACACCGGTTAACCGTTTCAAGCAGTTCAGATCGGTCCCATTGCATTAGGGCTATTGGCTCTGATGGCATTGCTACATCAGCTAAATGCATCACATTCGGGCACAATGGTGACATGTGTGATTTGGCCATGAACACCGAGAGCTCATGCTAGTAGAAAAATGGGAATTCATGAAGGAAACACATCAAGTGACCTATCGATACACATGCATGGCAGAGCGAGAGGGTGAAGCAGGGCTAGAGAGGTGGGAGGAGACGGGTATATACCTCGTAGTGCTTAAACGTCAGCTCGACGCCAGACCAATTGGTGAGGTGTGCTGGAACGGCGCTGTGCTCACTGAGACCCGTTCGGGGGCTTACAGTCGGTATCCATGGAGGAGCGCCGGGTTGTTGGGCCCGCCGATGGCTGTTGCGGGTGCCAGGGATGCTTCCTGTGTGGAATAGCGGGCGGTTGAGTTGCAGCTGCTCCGTGGCGGGCTCACGAGGAAGAGAGGGAAGAGGACGGGTCGAAATGGCACAAGCAAGAGAAGCGGCAGGCGAGGACCCTGGAAGCACGCCTCAACAAGTTACTGGGTAGGCGCGCCGGCTTCGCCATCGTAGGCCATAACTCCGCGCGAGATGAACAGGTAGCGATGCGCAATAGCAAGGAGTGCCACTGGAAGACTCAGTCGCGTTTCCGAGTTATCGACGGTGCGAGGCTGTGCCTCGACAACAACGGGTTGAGAGGTCCCCGCTTCCTGAACTCGAATGGTCGAAGCTGTTGAACGGACAGCTGCCAAGGCTGGGTGGGGGAAGGAGTTGAACCTCGGGCCAAACGGTCTAGAGACCATCAGCTTGCAGCGACCGTCCATGAGCTCAAGGCCGACAATAACCGTACGCGACCCGTTGGTCAGAAGTGCCCAGGTCGCTCTTGGGGCATCCGCTTCCGAAAGGCTGGCATGGTAGGGATATAGTACGCTCTCAAGCGCAATGCCCGCCGCCGTGGAAGTCTCCAATGGGGCGTGCCACACATGATCCGCAAGCGCAACATCCGGAACCATGATAAGCTGATTCGGCTGCCCCTTCTTGCGCTTGATCCTCATGACGCGGCGGAGCTTGAAACGGGATGTCTGGGCCGCCTCCCACAGGCGGTCGAGCCCTTCATCGGGTAATACCGACTCGTATTTGAACTCACAGCTGGCCAACCACACCCGTCGAGATGGGTAGCTTAGCGAGTCGAGTGCCAATACGATATCGCTCCTTGAACGGTTGGTTCCGGAATGCAGCTCGGCGTGGATATAAGGGCGCATGTCCTCTTGATGGTCGGAACCTTGACAGGCCTGCTCAAGGAAGGTGCCATAGTCAGCTGCACAGTCAGCTCCGCACAGAGCCTGGAAAAAATAGCAATGACCAGACTCACATAAGAAACGTGCGACGACGTCGTACTCGTGCTGCGCTTCGATGTGCGTCGTGCGCGGCGGAGAGAAGGTCGCGGGCGTCGCGCGGGCAAGATCTTCGACGATGAGATCCACCTCTCGCTGGGGGAGAGGGAGAAGTTCCACATCTCGGCGCGCCAGGGCGTCGACGACGAGAGACTTGTGGATGTATCGTCTTTGCCGGCGTCTAATGGCCGTGAGCGGGGGTGGCTCGTGCCCTCTGATCTCGGCGAGGACCCGGCTGATCATGGCGGGGGTGGGGAGAGAGGATCCGGAGGGCGCATAGGAAGACATTGTGGTTGCAAAACCAAAGCTGCGCATGCGAAGGAAGGATAGGGCGCCAAACAATTCAAACAAATCGCAACAGGCGGGGCGCAGCGGGGGCGCAAGGTTGCAGCTTGCATGACGCGTGGGTCCTCCAATATTGCATCTCGTGCCACGCAAGGGCAAGGCTCGTGTCTTAATGCTATGTCCAGCAATACAAACAAACAACGCGTCAATGACAACTACGAGGGTGCCCAGGCGTCCGACTGCCCCTCCGCCAGCATGATCTCATACTCGCGCCATGAGATGTACCGTGGAGCAGGATTGGACGAGGGCTCCTTCGGATTAGTCACGGCTTCCCATTCTTCCTCGTCCAAGCTTGAGCTGTCTTCGTCATTCAACTCAGTCTCATCAGAAATCATGTTGGCCACGCTGGCGATCGTCGGCCGGGGGTTGCCGTAAACACGCTCCCAATCCGCCGTCTCCTCTTCAACCGCCTTGGCGTGCCACGCCTGGACGCGGGCTGTGTTCGCCTCCGAGAAGAGTGGGTCGTATGGGCCCAAGATCTGTAGGCTGGGGGCAGGCGGAAGATTCTGCTCATCGCGGTAACTCGGGGGGTTGAAGGAGTCGGCGATGGGCCTCCATCGATGCACAAGGGTCCAACGACACAGCCCGCGCACTGGGCCATGGAGGGGCGGGGCCTTGTCTGCAGCGGCGTCGGGAAGGGCTTTGACGGCCTAAGAGGGTTTAAGTACGAAGTGCGTAGGATTGTGTATCTCGAAGTACTCACCGCATCATACGCCTTCTCGATGTAAACGTCTATAAGTCGCAACCATCCAGCGAACGGAAGCTCGCTCTTGGGGCGCTTGTACATCCTCAGCAAGTACTCGTCGTCCGTGGCGGTGTCGAAGGGGGGCCAAGGGTCCGTACGCGCCTTGTACATGCTCAATGTCAGCTCAGAGGGTAAGAAAGAATGCGCACCGGTCCAGAGCCGAGTCGAGAACAGCGCACGCAAAGAGGTTAAGTGAGACGAGGGCCTCAGGATTGCTCTGGGCGGTCTCTCGCCACTCGACCGAGGCAAGACGCGCCGCCCATACCGCCCGCGAGTAGCGGTCCCTCTCGTCAGAGGCGCAAAGAGGCCAGCGAGGCGTCGAGCTGTACGGGTACTCTGTGCGGGGAAATGGGAATGGCGTCCAGTCGCTAGACACCGACGAGACGGAGGTGTCAGCGGAATGCACACCGTCGCCGCCGAGAGATAGATCGTGGGAGGCGCTGTTGTCGCTGCTGTTGCTGCCGTCGCTGCCGCTACCGCAGCTGTTTGAGCGCGAGGTTTGGGTAGAGTCGCTCTCATTGGAAAGGCGAGGTTTGTTGGGCATGATGGAGTGGATGTGTATGGGTGAGTGAGTGGGAAGTGGGAAGGACGGCATGTTTTGGTTGGTGGCAGTGCATAAACAGAGGTGAGTACAGTCACGTGTTCCCTCACGTGGGCGAATCCCTGACAGTTTGGAAATCCACAACATGTCTCGTGGCGCAAGAGCTGCACAGCTGTACAGTACAGCTCAGAACTACACGACTAACCGAAATCACTCTGCACGACCCACACCGGTAGAAGGTTAAAAAGCCAAGAGGGACGAACGACAAGGGATGAGCGTTCGATGTTGTCAACCATGTGAGATCGGGATCTCTGACTTCGGCAGTATTGGGTCTGATAGGAGAATGCATGAGTTATTCTCATCTTGGCGTCGAGCACCCTACCAAATAGCCAGATCTTCACTGGTGATTAAACACTACTTGGGAAACTCACGTATGCGGTGGTGCTTGTGAATGGCACGTAAGCCACTCATACGAACCAAGAGAGCCTCCCTGGCGCTTTCCCCCACGTATTGTTGTCACTCCAGGACGCGCGCTGCTGGGTCTTTTGCTCGACCAGCTGCATCAACTTAGGGTCCAACATTGGAGATTCTGTGTCTCCCTCGGCTCCAATCTTCGGTCGGCGGAGGGTGAAGAACGAGGCGAAGTAGATGAGAAATGGTTGACACGCGTTACATGGACGTCTGGACGGGTGCATCTACAATACTTCTCTGCATCTGGGGCGGAAGGAAGTCGCATGAGCCCGGGCGGCGCAATCTCTCTATCTACCCTGGGATGCGTGTTCTTGACAGCGGCGGGCGAGATGCCAACTTGGAAGGCACGGCGCCAATCTCAACTCGTTGCATGATGCAGCGAGACATGTCGCCTTTTATCCACTCGTTAGTGATGCGCGCATCCATGTGGACAGTAAAGGCTTGTCTGGGTAGTTGGCCGGCTTGTCTGGGTAGTTGGCCTCGGCATTCAAGGTCGATCAAGTTACAGGCTTCGGCTGCAAGCGCTGCTGAATGGGAGTTGCTGTAGATCGAAGATACCATAGCCTTGGTGCACGACAAGGGGGGTGAACGTCGGTAAGCTGCGGTGGCAGCGGTACGATGTAGTCTGTTGGCAGGTCAGGGGCGCGCAGCACCCAGAGGGACGTACAAGTGCAATACAATACAAAACTCAGACGAGTCGAGGAACATGTCCGGCTGATGGATAGTGGAAGGTCTGGATGTCCGCCAGCGGCGTGGAGCCCTTTTGGGGATATAGGGAGACCTGCGTTGCGAGGGCGGGTGACGCAGCGCGCCGTGGAAGGTACCCTTGGATTCAGCACATACTGGCTCGTGAATGATGACCCGTGCTCGGAAACTGGTGCTCCTTCTGGCGTTTGACAATTGTGCCCCGGACGAAGGCGGTGCGGAGTGACGACCGGCGTCGGGGCACGCGGCTGCCGCAGCTCCACGTATCTGAAGGGGAGGCCGTGAGTAAAGGCAGTCGCTAGGGCTAATATCGAACTGAACGCAGTAGAGGTATGTTGACGTCGTTGCAGAGCCTCACTGGGTCGGGACGCCACCATGGTCAATCGTTTGGTACTTTGCCGCACCATCAAACTTCCAAATCCTCGTTTTCTTGCAGTGCCGCTTGCTATACATGTAAGTTGAAGACCGTTGATGGGCTGCGTGGAGGATCGTCGTCGCAGCTTGAGGGTGAGGGATCGTAAGAGATGGTAGTCGTGGAGGGGCGGAAGATGGTGAACGCAGACGTAGGTCGGAAGAGAGGCGAGAATGAGGGAAGGAGTTTCATAATGGAACCAAACATGACCCTTTGCGCCATGCGTGAAACCGGAAGTGGAAGTTGAATGGTACGTGCCGCACTCAACTACAGACTGCAACTCAACGGCCCGACGGTTTGACGGATGCGTGCATCAACGGCTGTCGCCTCAGCAAGCGTGCATCTCACATTCTACTGCAATGCCTGCAAGCTGCACAAGAAGCTATGGAACCCACATGATTGGAGGGCCCCGCAATCCCCCAACCACGCCGTGCCGGTTGGTAGGCGCCCATAACCGGGACCGGTGATGCCCGACCACTCATTGCATTTCACTCTTCATGATTCTTGAAGTCTTGGACACCCATCTCCAACCACGTCATGATCTCACGTATCCTTGCACGCGCGGCAGTCCGCCGGCCATCCCATGCTTTCGCAACACGCTCCTTCTCCTCCCCGACAGCAGAGGATGTCGCGCGTCTTCGTGCGCTCGCTCCCTCCACGCTTTCGACGCTGGACGGAAGCGCGGACGAGTCTGATCTTGAGGCCTTCAACACCGACTGGATGCGCAAGTACCGCGGGCGTAGTGCTGTTGTTGTCAAGCCGCGCTCTGTGCAGGAGGTTTCGGCTGTCATGCAGTACTGCGGTGCACACAATCTTCCGGTTGTGCCGCAGGGCGGTAACACCGGGCTAGTCGGTAGGTCTCATGGTCGCGCTGCTGACAACAGGCGGGTCTGTTCCGCTTGGCGAGGAGGTTGTGCTCTCGCTCGGCAGCATGAGTCGCGTCCGCTCCTTTGATCCTGTTTCGGGGATCCTGGTCGCAGACGCCGGGCTCATTCTAGAGGCGGCAGACGCCTATCTCGCCGAGCGCGGGTACATCTTTCCCCTCGACCTTGGGGCAAAGGGTTCATGCCACATCGGGGGCAACGTCGCGACCAATGCTGGCGGTCTTCGACTCCTACGCTATGGCAGCCTGCGAGGCAGCGTTGTCGGTCTTGAGGCCGTCCTGGCCGACGGGACGATATGGAACGGCCTTAAAACCTTGCGGAAGGATAACACGGGTGCGCGACAGTGTTGATCCTGCTGACCCCAGGCTTTGACATCAAGCAGCTATTCATCGGGTCTGAGGGCACGCTGGGCGTCATCACAGGGATCGCGATCCAGTGCCCGCGTCGTCCGGCAGCGCTGCGTGTTGCCGTATTCTCCGCCAGCTCGTATGAAGCTGTGCAGCAGGTGTACGCGGACGCGCGGCTGATGCTGGGAGAGACGCTCTCGGCGTTCGAGGTTTGGGATGCGCCGTCGTATGCCTATGTGCGCGCGCATCAGACCAGCAGCCGACGTCTTTTCGAGACGGAGGGCGAGTTCTATTGCCTCGTCGAGATGGGTGGGAGTAATCCTGAGCACGACGAGGAACGTCTTGGCGCCTTCATCACCCACCTGATGGAAGAGGGTCATGTGCTCGACGGCGTGGTAGCGCAGGACGAGACACAGTTCGCAGGTCTCTGGGCTCTCCGTGAGGGCATTCCGGCTGCATGCTCCGCCGTCGGCGCCGCGTACAAGTACGACCTCTCGATCCCTGTTAATGAGATGTACGCCGTAGTGGAGGAGATGCGCGCGCATCTACACGATGGTCTTCGAGATGGACGAATCCGCGGCGTCGCAGGCTTCGGGCACATGGGTGACGGTGAGTCACAAGTTGGCAAGAGCTGACGCAGGTAACCTTCACTTGAATGTCATTGCCGATGAATTTTCAGACGAGAACAAGCGCGACATTGAGCCGTTTGTGTATGAGATTGTCGGTAAGTCCAAGCAGTGTCCGCGTTGACGCAGCTCGGCGCGGCGGGTCCATCTCAGCCGAACACGGCCTGGGAGTCATGAAGGCACCATACATCGGCTACTCGCAGACTGGCGTTTCCATCGACCTCATGAGGCGCATCAAAGGCCTGTTTGATCCTAAGGGCATCCTGAATCCGGGCAAGGTGAGTCGCTGGCTGGCTTGGCTGGTGCAGGACGTGTAGGAGCTGATGCTCGCAGTTTGTCCTGTAGTGCAGTTATGAGCCAACACTCCACAGCACCCGATGAGGGCCATAAGAAGGAGGGTGCCATGCATACCCTCACCTTGTCCTCGTCGAACTTACCTCGCAGAAGTTGGTGGAGGGGCGTGATTTGGATGCCATGCTAGGCCTGATAGGGCCGTACAGGTGCATCTCATTCTTTCCAAGCCCCACGCATGCACACAGCTTGCACCCTGAGTCCTTCGACGTCTCGGAAATGCACATGCACTGATCCCATCACCGTCGCCTCACAGATCACAGACCACCCATCCCGATCAGCGCTCCCGTTCACCGAAAACTGTAAGTGATTGAACCGCAGAAAACTGTCTCCATGCAAAGCTGGGGACCACAGACGACTACCTACTGGCTCGAGCTATGGGAATGGGACCTTCCTGGCCTGGACAGTCCCCAGGTAGGTAGCCATGGCCGCGGTGATGTCGGAGAATGAACGTGCCCCAGGATCGAGGTCGAGGTCGTCAGAGGAGAAGAGATGAGGCCTCCGAAGGCGCGCTTCCTCAAGACACGATAAGGCCGGCTTTTCTAAGCCTTTGCACAGGTCGAGGAGGGCCAAGACGATCGTCAGATCGATGTCTGCCTCACGCACTATCATGCGCAACTGGGCAGTGCCGTACCTTGCGCAAGTGGAGACCCGGTGGCGGGCGGCGGCCTCGGCGTTGACAGTTTTGAACTCGGTGATGGCCTCGGTAACTGTCATGGTGCGCCCATTAACGACAGAGGTAAGAAGGAGGTCGTCATCGCCAATACCGCCGGAGGGAGAGGCAATAGTTAGAGTGTGGCCGAGACCAGCAAAGGCTGGGGCGGGGGTGGGCGAGTTCGGTGTACCCAGGTTCTGAGATGGACTCGGCGAAGATGGCTGCGAGAGCGAGTTGAACGCGGCGTGCTTCTGACGAAAAGCGCGATAGGCGTTGACTAAGGCGGCCATCTCCAGCTCCTGCTCGGCGGCAGACTGAACAGCATGTGCCTCCGCCTCAAGCAACGTCTCGAGAGCGCTTTCTTGCTGAGCAAGGTACAGGCGATTGGCCGTCTTCACAGCCGACATCATAGCGTATATATCGCCGTAAACGTACAAGTGATCCTTGAGAGTCTCGGTGTGGGCGACAAGCTGACTGATAAAAGCGTCGTCAATCTCGCCGTTCGTAGAGTTGCGTAACCGTGAAAGTATACACTCCCATGACCGTTGAGCAGCCATGACGTTCACGCGATTGATTTTGAGAGTATAGAAGACTGCAGGGGTCAGCGCAATCAAGCGACTGCTCACTGTGAGGCCCCCCACATTGCGAACAAGGGCGACCGTCGGAGTTCCAGGCTTCGGTTGCAGTTCGGGCACTGGCGCCGGGAGGAATGATAGCAGAGTCGCACGGGGGAGGCGCGGCCGTGAAGGAAGACAACTCTGCGGTCAGCCCCACCTCGATTACATCTATTAGCAACGGCGATGCCCTCGACTTACGGGACTTTCGGAGCTTAACAGCGAGTACCCGGCCAGTGACGGATGGAGGAGGCTGTTGTTTGGGGCGAGATCTGGATGAGAACACCGATTTGCAGGGGAAAACGCCGATGCTAATGACGCGGTAGAGCATGCGAACGCTGGCGGTGGCGGGGACGGTGAGTAGCCAGAGCGACTTAAGAGGTATGGCGAGCCAAGTGAGGATGCCCATCGGGGGACGGAGGAAAGTGAAAGCGGAGCGGTAAGGAGATAGGCCGGGTAGAAGGCAAGGTAGGAGAGGCGGTCGCAACGCGTCTCGGAGATCTAGGGTCAGCTTGCTTGACGAGAGGCAACTCGCCGTCGTCGGGGATGGTCATGGTGAGCCTTGATGATTGGATGGCGAGTGGCGGTAGGAGACTGGGTGAGGACGTGTGCTGTTGAGTAGGAGCAATGGAGGGAAAAAGAGAAAGAGAGCTAATAGAGATGAAGGAAGGAAAGTGAAAGCGAGGAAGGTCGCAACGCTGATCGGCTGGGTAGAATGAGTAGACCCCCCAGAGCATGAGGACCGAGGTGACGGAAATCTGGAGCGGGTGGAGTAACTGTCATGGCTGTCATGGCTGCATGGCTGAGTTGCATGTTTGAGGATTCCGAGTTCTGCATGGCCGCGCACGCCGCACACGTCGCGCTCGCCCCGCAGCGATCTCTTGAGTTTCAATCCTCGTGGAGGTGACCAAGCTGCCTGCAGCCTGCAGCCTGCCTCGATGGCTCAATGCCTTTTTGAAAGAATGAGATTCTCACCAGATGTAAATTGGTTGGGGTGACCATCTAGCCGCCCCCGTATCGGAACTGCATCGAGCCACAAGACTCCCTTCGTGACTGCCCTTGCTGACTGCTGGCTGGTGGGAAGTTGCTGAGTGTGCCGCTCCCGACGACGGGGGCCCGGTCACAGTGCCATTTATCCCATGCGCTGCGCCCCTCTCCCTTTTCCCCTTCGAAGGAGCCCGTTCCGACAATCTATCATTATGCTGATGTGCAGATGAACGTACAGAGGCTACAAGAGTCCATGATTTACTGCCATTGGCCGATACGGGAGCAAACGGGTGTGCCAGCAAAGCGCGTAAGCTAGGTGAGAGTGTCGATCGCACTACGCGTGGAGAAAATCGTCCCGCTGCTCGATGAAGCGAAGCAGCATTATACGCCGTTGGCTGGGAGCTCGAACGGACAGGTGATGCCGAGCAGCGACGACGTCGAGATTGGCTTGGGCACCATGCCCACGATGAACTGCTTCACCTCGAGGCGGAACTTCATGGACTGCCGCTCCTGGTTCCGGAACAGATGCTTGCACCCGTTGTACATGTTGGCCCAAGTTGGGTCCGTGTCGTTGACGGCGGCAAAGGCGAAAGTAACGGGGAACGAGACGGGGATGTTCTTGCCCTTCTTCAGCTTGTACCTGCCAAGCTTGCCGTTCGCAATAACGACACCCGTGTCAACGTCGAGGACCTTGGCCTCGGCGTTTGAGAACTGCACCGGAACATAGCTTGCGCTCGAATCGGCCATGAGCTGCAAGTTGGCGCCAAAGGTGAAGTTGGCTGGCGTGCGCGCAAAGTACGGATCGGTTGTGTTGACAAATGGCTGGTCTGCGTACCACTGGAATTCGACGGCACGAGGAATGACAAAGTAGAGTGTGACGATGAGGGCGGCGATGAAGAAGAAGGCAATGAAGACGAAGACAGTACGGGTCATCCACGCGCAGCCACAGCATCCGCGCTGGTCGCGATTCCATGCCTTCCAGTTCGTCTTGCGCTTGTCCGCCTTTGCCTCAGCCTTGCCTCGGCGAGACTGGCCGTGCAGTTCGTCCTTGGTCCACCTGGGAGGTTCAGCCGGGCCTAGACGCGCGGGCATAAGCAGACTTACTCGGCACCAAGCACCGGCACGGTCACCATTTCGGGGTCATTGTATTGATCTTGTTTGGGCATAAGGTGACCAACGCTGCCTACAGCTTCGTGGTGGTCATACACGGGGCGGTACCTGCGATCAGCACAGAGCACAATCCCAGCGGGGGAAGAAGCCTGGATGCGATCGAGCTAAAGCGCTGTGCGCTTGTCGCACCCGCTTCATTCCATACTCACGTCTCCTGCTTGGCCACACCGTACATCTCGCTCCACCGTGGTCCGCTGCCGTCAAAGTCGGCGCGGACGTCAAAGCTCGGCTCGCGTTGCTCGGTTGGAGCCTGATACTGCCCATTGCGCATGGGTCGCATCTCGTTTGCATGGCCGCGCCGTGGACCACCGACAAAGGATGACGGACCAACGCGATCGGCGAACTCGACCTCGTCTGGAGAAGCTGGCCTGCCAGCACCGTGAGTGTAGTATCTAGACATAGTGGGATGATGGGGAATAGATGGGATGCGTGTGCTGTGGATTGGGTTCTCGGGGAGTAACGGTGAACCAGCCGCTGTTTGGCGGGGTCGCGGGTGTCGCGGGGGATCAATCGAGTTGGTGGCCGGTGTGAGGTCGCTGAGAGGGAGGGAGATGAGAGTAGAATTTGAGAGATGGGACGAGGTGATGGAAGAGAATAGGAAGTGTGATGAAGGTGATCGCCTGGATAGTAAGACGGATATGGAGAGAGGTGTGACTTGTGGGTGGTGGCTTGCGAGGGAGGTGCCTGTCAGATGGCACATGCGGGCTACTTGGCGGGTCCAATTCAACCCTCATGGCGCGCGCATGGTTATCGCGTGGCTCTCGCGTGCGTTTCCATGTTCCGCTGATCCGCTGGCATCGCTGGCATGAGCATGGATGCGCAGTACTGCTGTGAGATCTGAGAGCTGAAAGAGACAGAGATGGCGGACAACTTGTGGCGTTGAGGTATCGGGGCCAGCCATCGCATTCTACAATTTACAACATGGGCTCCTGGATATCAGAAACTAGTGAATTCTTCTCCTGCCGCGCTTACCGGCGACAACCAGGATCATACATGACAGAGACACGAGATCGTACGGAGATGAGGAGAAAAGGGAGAGAGATGGAAAAAGCTGTGCCTGGGACAGGCTCTACACCGCCTTCTTTTGCGTGAGCGCATCCAGCAATCAGGGTCCAAGACGCGCGCTTTCGGCGCTGGGCGGCATGGGCGGGGAAACCGAGGAAGGTGGTCAGTGCTCTTGGCGTATGTACATGCAGTCTGGCCACCGCTGCATTCTTCATCGCCATCATCATCATCATCATCACCACCATCGCCATCATTCTTCTTCCATTCTTCATCACTTACCACTCTCCTATCCGGTCCCGTCTTGTCGGCCGAAACTCTTTTCTCAATTAGACTCGTCACGCTTCACCAACGACACATCGCCCTGCCTTTACGACCCAGCCTCGCACTCACCCACCCCCGCCTGGCCCCACACTCTACCTGCCTCCATCCCACTTTATAGCGTGACCGGCACGAGCACTCCCCTGGCGTCACACACACCGTCGTCCATCCTCTCATCTACCACCCTCATTACCCATCCTCCTCCTTGTCCTCCTCCTCATTATCATCTCTCCGTCTCACCTTCATCGTTAACTCATCTGGCCCCTCATCGCCTCTCCTCTCCTCTCCCCCCACCTCTCCTTTCCTCAACCCCATCAATCCCCGCCGCTTACAATCATCATGTCGGCGGGGGCCAGGCTACCAGGTGTCCTCCTGCTGCTAGCCGCTGTGATCCTCCTCGCGCTCGTCTCGTTTAACACCCCGCTCCTCAAGAACCTGTACTTCCTCCAGGCAAACTTCTCAGCCGGCGAGTACAAGGGCGTCCTCCGTTTGGGAACACTTGGCTTCTGCACTACTGGTGATATCGAAGAGTGTGTCGGCCCCCAAGTTGGCTACTCATTTGGTGAGAGATCGAGAGACGGATCGCCCTATGTTGACACGCTCGTCCAACTAACGCTCAGACCTCAACACCGTCCTAAACATCCCCAAAAGCCTCATCAACATTCCCTCGGCCGTGTCCAAGTACCTCACCTATGTGCTCGTTCTGCACATTGTTGGTCTCGGCTTTGCTGGGATCGGCCTGATTATGGCTCTCATCGATCTCATTCCTGGCTTCAACATGGTGTGCTTCCCGACATGCATGGCATCGCTGGCATCGACCGCAACGCTCATAGCCTTCATCTTCGATCTCGCCATCTTCTTCATCGCAAAGGGCGCCATCGGAAAGATGAGCGGTGCCAACGCCCAGATCGGGGCGGCCGTCTGGATGACTCTCGCCGCCTGGGTGTGTTGCTCGGTCGCCATCTGCGCGTTTGGTATGGCCAACTGCTGCTGCAGCTGTGGTGGCTCACGCCGCGAGGAGCGGAAGAAGAAGAAGAACCGCGACAACGACGACGAATTTGACTCATACCGTCGCGACCACGACATGCGCTTGCACGCCATCCGCGACGAGGAGCGCCGTAAATACGAGCAGGACCTCCCGTCGTTCCAGCCGTTCGAGCGCGAGCCTCTCAACCCTGGACCGCCCGAGGACAAGTACCTGTATGATGCGCCGCCGGTCGAAACTGGCACGGGCGTGCATGGAGTTGGTGTCGGCTACGGGCGCCGTAATGGTACGCCTAACCCCTATGCTCAGGCTGCTGCTCCTCCGACAAGCTACGGCCAGACTCTTGGAGTACGGAGACAGCCATCAACTGGCAGTTCGATGCTGACCGCGGGCAACGCCGGCGTTGGTGCGGGTGGCGAAGGCGTTGACCAGCCGCGCAACGAGTACGGCTACGCTGGCCAACGGGAACAGATTGCCGACAACTGTGAGTTGGCTCGCCCGGGCTGGAATGCCTTGTCGCCTCGATCTCCTTTGAGCGCCGCTGACACCAGACTACGATCCGTATGCCGCGGCCCCTGTCCAGCCATACGGGCAGGAACCATACGGGCAGCAATCATACGGGCAGCAGCCGTACGCGCAGCCAAACTACGACTACAACCAGGGGCCGACATACCCGCCCGTCGCAGCGGCAGGCATGACCTCTCCTACGCGCCAGCGCGGACCCAACGATTATTTTAGCGGGGGCCCGGGGTCGTCTGACAGCCACCATTACCAGGACCCCGGGCCGAGAGTCCACCCCGCTCCGGCAGACCCGTACCAGAATACGGGTTACGACGACGGCCTCGGCGCGATCGGGCGCGCGGCCACGTCGCCTACGGGCGAGCGCCAATACACGGGCGCGCAAGGTTACGGGACACCGGCCCCACTGACGATTCCCCACGAGCCTGCACCAGTCCAAGTGCCGACGCCGCAACGTCTCATCAACCCGCAACAGCAGAACATTCTGCAGAGTCCCGAGAGCGAATACTCTCCGCATGGGACGTTTAACAACTACGCGCCCGAGACTGAGGCGGCAGGCCCGCCCAGCTACGGCCAGGCAACGTACAACGCCGGTCCGTCAACGTACAACGCCGGTCCATCAACGTATCCCCAGGAGAAGCGATAGAACCGTGTAACGTGTAAGATTAGACATGATAACGATTGCACGGAGTGATGGGATTGAAGACGTGGCTGTTAGGACAATGCATGCCGATAGTTTGCTTGGTAAATACGTGTCACGAGGCATGGGGTGACGAACATGGCTCCCGCACTGACACAGATACAAAGATGTCTGACATGACCGTTGAGAAAAGGCTCTTGCTTCTAATGGGAAGCATCTCTATCTACCATGGAATCGGGTCTAGCATGCCCACTTGCGAGTCCACTGCTGGGCCTCGGCGATAGCAGCCTTCTCGTTCTCCTTCCACGCCTGGGCGACGTCATTGGCAAGCGGGTCGTCGGGGTTTGGCGCGCCGAGGAGCGCCTGGATAGAAAGGAGGACAGTGCGGATCTGGAGAGCAGGCGACCACTTGTCCTTGAGGATATCAAGGCAGATGCGCCCAAGCTTGTCTGTGGATGAGCAACAGAGGAGGGAAGATGGTCAAGGCCACGCACCAATGTTGGGGTGGTAAATCTTTGTGAGGAAGCGGACCTTTGGAGGGTTCATGGGGTACTCCTCCGGCAGGAAAAGCTCGAGCTTGAATACACCGCCTAGGGTAAGTTAGCCCTCTCCAGGACGACGGGGTGACACCGGGCTACACTCACCCTCGTACGGCGACTGGTCGGGGCCGGCTATTGTGACGTCAAAGTAGCGGAGGTTGTCGTCGTGCGGCGCGGCAGTGATGCCGGGCGGCGAGTCGGACATGAGCCGCTCCGTTTCCTGCAGGACAAAGGATTCGAGCAGTGGACCGCGTTGGCGGGGTGGAGAGCAGAGGGATGGTCGGCAAGCGAGAAGCCAAAAGGGAGTTGGAAGAAGCAGTCGATGAGTAGATCGTCAGCAGAACGCGTGGGTCAAGGGGCGATGGTGTCAAGAAGAGCGAGGGAGACGTTGGCGCCACCGTGTCCGGTATCAGAAGTCGGTTTCAGTGTGATTGCGATGCGAAATGGGCAAGTCGAGGCGCAAAAAACGAGCGGGATATCAAGTGGGGAGCGCGTAAAGGTAGTCCCAGGACGTTGCGACGTGGAGTGAAGTGGGTCGGCATTAGCAAGATAATGGTTGAGGGAATGGCCGGGTGAGACACGGTCAGCTCAATTCGCGGACAACCTTCACAGCGGTAGGCATGGAGCGGGGCGAGGCGGAGGTGGCAGAGGAAAAACGTACCTTGAGAATGCGCTTCGGCAGTCCTGCGGACATTGTTGACTGAAGCCGGGTAGTTGAAGATGGAGAAATAGGAGGAAGGAAGAGCAAGATCAAGATGGATGATGAGCGCCCTCCTCGCAGCTCGCAGCAATCGGCGAGGGCAGCGTCATGATCGCTCTCTGGAGTTGTTACGTCAGCATTATCTGGCCCTCCCGTTGCACTTTGGTGAATCAAGGGTGCACTGAATGATGGACGCATGGGACAGCTGAGCAAGCTCGACGCTACACCTTTGCAATGACACAGCTGTCACGGCTGGTAGCCCCTCCTCTTCTTGCTGACTTCATGCAAGGATTTGGTCGACTGGAAGAGGCTGGAGGAGCAAAAGTAGTAGAGATTGTTCCGCATGCGGAAGTGTTCCAGAAATTCTCTTCAACGCCTTAAAGACGAGAAGAAGGGGTAGGATGTTTTTTTCAACTAGCAATTTGTTCGACTCGGATATGATCCTCACTGTCAGAACAGCTAACCCTAGCAAAAGGATAATTATCGGCTCTGCTGCGACAGCTTAAAGGGTACACTAATGTGGGCGAACGACGAATGGAGTTTCGATATCGCCGCATATGTGGCGTGGGTCACAGGCCAGAGTCGTTGGGTGGCAATTCGAGGGCGCTATGGGTAGGTATGGCATGGGGTGAGGCGCTCTCCACACCTCACTGGCCTCACTGGGGCCGGTCATGACCGCTCAATCCGCTCAGCCTGCTCAGCCCGCTCAGCCCGCTCAGCCCACTCAGAGTCCATGCTACCTCGCAGCTCCTTAGCGCACTCTCTACATCAGGTCTACCGACACAACCAGCGACACTACATAAAGTCGTCGTCCTCCAAGACGTCGTCATACGTGTCCAGGTCAACCTTGGCAAGGACCTTCGTCGCGCCAAGCTTGGGCTTAGTAGAGGCCTGTAGTGTGAGCATCGAACTTTGCTGAAGCAATGGCACGGTGCAAGGCGGGATCATTCTAACCTTCTTCTTCCCGCTCGCCTTGTCACGCTCCTCCTGCTGCTTCGTGTTGCCCAGCACGCTGAGCGCACTCGAGACCTTTCGCGTCTGCACGGCTGACAGACTCCCGCAAAGCTCCTTGGCCAGCTGCTCAACGAACGCGGGGAAAAGCCCATTGTCCTCGTGCTTCTTGATAAGTGCGGTCACAATGTTGGTCGAAAGCTCGGTGAAGTCGGCCTTGGTCTTCGGGTTGGCGGAGAGAGCGGCCTTGAGCGCGTCGCCTGAGGTTAGTTTGGCACTGCTGTTATGGTTGTTGTTATCGGGAGAAAGCAGGCTCTCTCATGAGCAAGCGCTTTGTAGCACCTCCAGCCAAGTCGAGAGAGTTCTTGCTACTGCTTACCGAGCCGCTGGCGGTCGTGGCGATCTTGGACGCCAAAGCCAACCCAGCCAACAGCCCCGACGGCCCATCTCAGACTCACTCGTCGAAACCTCCATGCCACCCATAAGATCAGACGCGACGGCCAAGTCGGCCTCGAGCTCCTTCTCGCGCGCCTCACGGCGGCGGTCCTGCTCCGTCCGCTCGTCGATCAGGTCGTCCTCGCCGCCGCGCGCCTTCTTCTCCGCAGCAAGCTTCTCCTTCTCCGCGAGCTTCTGCTTGAGAGTCATCTTCTTCTTGGGCGGTGCAGCGGTCACAGCGCTCTTCTTGGGTGGCGCTGGTTTCTTCTCGCTGTCGGAGACATCCCAGTCGTCCTGCCGTCAGCTTAGCTAACTCGAAGTCGAGGGATAGAGACATGAGGGACGAGCGGCCGGAGCACAAGAGGAGCAAGCCATGGGCCACGCAAGATGCGCGTGGCGTGATAGAGTCTGTAGGTACTGAGGCACGGAGGAGAACGCATCGCACAGGCCGCAGTGGACAATGCGCATCACGTACACCTCCGACATCTCCTCATCCCACCTCTGCACCCCATTCGCATCCGCTCCCCAACTCCGAGCCTCGCGCGTTCCGCCTCCGCCCTCTCCCACGTGCCAAGACCCACCTCCTCCTCATCCTCGCCGGCCCACTTGTTCTGTGACGGGCGCGGAACGACCGGCGCAGGCGTCGAGGTCCCGGTGGATGGCTCGTCAACGTCTGCCGTCAGCACTGATATTCCTCTTCCACAAAAACGCACCCCAGTCGTCGTCGGACATGGTCTAGATTCTATTAGTGGTGTAGGTGGCAAGTGAAACAACAGCGTTGTCTGCTCTGGCTGCTCTGACGACCACAGTGCATCTGAACTTTTTGCCACGTGGAATTGATTGCGCATTTCAGGGATTTCTCCGACAGCCTCCACCATCGGTGTCCACCGCTGTCGCGGCTAACTGAAATGTTGATCCTCTCATCTCCACCTCAGTCTTTGTGCCCCGCTCGCCCCGCCCCCTGCCCCCCCGCCGCTCGCTTTTGCGATGCCGCCCACACCCCATCCGCTCGCTACGGCGCGGCAGATTGCGCACCCGCCCTCGCGCGCCGACGGGGTGCCAGCGCGTCTCGAGGCCGACCTGCGCGCGGTGGGCTGCATGATGATTCAAGAGGCGGGCGTTATGCTCAAGCTGTGAGTTGCGAGACCAGATCCCAGCTAACAGAAGACCGCAGAGCACACTCGCGACGGCGCAGGTAGTCTTCCATCGATTTTTTTACGTCTCGTCGCTGGCGTCGTTTGGCGTGAATGTGCGTACCTTCCTCGACTACGGTGGAGATACCAGCGCTCACCCCAGGATCTATCCGTCTCGTGTCTTTACCTCGCAACAAAGCTAAATGAAACTCCTGCACGACTGCGGGACATCATCAACACCTACATGTTTCTACAGGCGCGAGTGCGCCACCTCCTCTCCCTTCCTGCCGGAACTCCTCTGCCCCGAAACCTCCGACCTGGGTCAAAGGGCGATGAAATATGGACGGGTTTCTCGTTTTCCATCCCCAGCTTTCACTCGACGGTGTTTTGGGAGTGTGAGTTGGCCGACTTGGTCGAACTTGGGCTGCAGGGCACTGAAGCACATCCCTTGAGCAAACAGCAGAGCTGACCACAGGGAAGGAGGCGATCCAATATAACGAGCTGCAGGTGCTCAAGCGGCTTGGGTTCAACATGCAGGTTGGTGGCATTGTCTGTAGTCCGAGGCTCACATCAGGTCGACCTACCATACTCGCATGTGATCAATTATCTCAAGATTCTTGATCTTGTGTTTGACGACGGGGTAGCACAGCTATGCTGGTCGATCCTGAATGATGCGTGAGTCCTTCACAACACGATCGCTTTAGCTTCTCAATCGCGTTCTCCTTTAGTGCGGGGAAATCCTTAAGCTCACTGTGCCTTCCCCATTTTCGGCCTGCACTGTGCTCACCTCAGCCACCTCACGCCCCTCAACGCCCAACAACCCACTCATGTGCTCGCCGTAGCGAGCATCACCCTCGCTACGCGCTTGCGCCAAATTGCTCTCCCAGAAGGGTGGTATCTCCTGTTCGACGTGATCTGGGACGACGTCGCACCAGTGTGCGCCACCATCGTGCAGCTGTGGCGCGACTGGGGCTGTGCGCCAGTCGAGTTTGACGCCACAGCGGACGGGCGAGAAGACGAGAGGGCACGAGAGGACCGCTGGCGCAGGGCATGGACGCTCGCCGAGAGCCGCAAAGCCGTGCGCAAGTGGGTGGAGGAGTCGAAGAGCAGCCAAGACATACATCCTACATTGTAGCAACATACGCATTAATCACAGCATTAGCCACGTCCAGCCCAAAGGAAGCAACTAGCCGCTGGAGCGGACGCTCCATCCCCAGGCAATGCGCCCGCGGCTGAGCCACTCGAGGGCCTGGCTAAACGCCTTGACCATGACCTCGGGACTCTTCTCGCGACGCACTTCAACGACGAGGCTGCGTCCTGCCCGCCCGCCTCGCGTATTTGGCACGTTAACGGGGCTGTAGCTGAGCCACAGCTGCGCCCACAGCGGGCTGAGGGTGACTGCGACATGCGCATGCGGGAGGGGCAGCGCCTGCCGGAGCTCGCCTAGGCAGCGACCATCGGCCGGTGGCGGAGTGATGAGGTGTGGAGGCAAGTGGAGGAGGAGGTCCTCGACGCGCGCGGCCGGCTGCAAGCGCGCAAAGAGCACCTCCTCCTCGCCGCTATCTTCCGACAGCGTGCTTTCCAGGCGCCGCAGATCCTCGCCGAGGCGCATCGCCACGAAGCGGTCGAGCACCGCAGCTTCGCGCGAGCGGGCCGCGAACACGGGCTGGCCTGTGGCGTCCGCGCCCGGCCGCAGAGGAGCGGACGAGTGCACGTGCAGGCGCGCGGTGTATGTGGGGAGGAGGCGGTCGCGGAGGATGGATGTGGCGACTATTGTCAGTGAGATCACCAGGGGAGAGATCACCGGGGGAGGGTCAACGTACTGAGGTAGAGGCGGCGGTTCACTGCGCGGACGTCGAGAAAGAGCCAGTGAAGACGGCGCACACGCTCCGTTTCGAGATCCCATGCCCAGACGTCTGGCGTGGCGGAGGGATCAAGCGCCAGCATCAGGATGCGGTGCACGAGCGCCACGGGAAGAGTGGAGAACGACGCGGGGCCGTGCCGCGGCGTGCAGGGCGTGTACGCCGGTGAAGGCTGGGAGCGTTCGATGTGGGGTGGGTGCGAGCGCACAGAGCTGGGTGATTGAATTGCAGGTGGGGGTGAATGAGGGGCCGGCGATGGGATAAGGTGAGTTGAAGACGTGGATAGAGGTGCATAACGCCGTTCGGGCTCCGAAGACGGCAGGAGGGGGCGCGGCGAGAGGGAGCGGGTGAGTGGGACGCCGGGGGCGCGGGCCGGAGCGCGGGGTTCGGAGGGGGGGAAGTTGGGGTCGCGCTGCGAGTACGGGGGCGGAGGATCTTCGCGGCGCGGAAGGACGCGGGCGACGAGCTGTCGTGCGTCAAGCTTCATTCTTGGTGATGGGCCGATGCAGATGATGCAGCATTCAACCCGCGGGCTAAGACAACGGTGGCGGTTGTCGAGGGATCGACGACGGACCCCGTCGCCACCGCCCCATGGGGCACGGAGATGGATCTCCGCTCATTGCGCCGGCGCGACGCGTGCGGATTCCGGCCGATCTTTGAGGGCTCACAAGAGCTTATGATCTCGTTACCGCTCATTGCTTTGCTTGCGTTTGCTGTTTCTCGACTCTTTCGGCCGCTACCATCTACTCTCGCCTGCCATGCTCGGTCGCCTTTTCCACTTCGGCTTTGACGCGCTCGCCATCTCGGCCGTCCTTGCGGGCGTCAAGAAGACAACTGGGTTCGCGTGAGTTGACCGTGTCGATGGCGGTGGCGTGGGCGGCAGCCCATCGTCGCCGGCGAGACGATATGCGTTAGGAACCTCGCCGCCTAATGGTCCACGCTGCCGAGTATGCTGACGCTCCTCTCCTCATCCTCGCCCCCGCATGGATCGCGCCTGCCCTCCTCCCACTTCCGCACACGCTCAACTCCCTTCCTGGGTCTTGTCGTCTGGTCCTTCACTTCTCGCTGCCTTTTACATTACCTCCCACTCCGCCTCTTCTCTCTGTTCACTTCACCCGTACAGCCCCGACACCACCCAGATCCCTGAGTCGTCGATTCGCTCTATCGCAGATGGCTACCTTGGGGCCGGCGAATCCGTCTTCAACCTCGTCACGGGGCAGGCCGTCACCTCGTCGTACTTCAAGAAGGCCGAGTAGCGATGTGCTCTCTCAGCAATCCCGGGTTTCACGTCTCACACACGCCTAGATGTATCCTGCATACGAGCTCTATGATTCTACGCGTAGAAGCCGCGCGCCTGGAGGCCCGCCTCGACCTCCTTGCCCGCCGCGCGCACCTGGCTGTCCGTGATGCGGCGCCAGATAGGCAAGCCAATCTGCCGTCAGCTTATTACACGCACACACGACTCACCGCCGCGATGATTCCGTAGAAGATGTCCAACAAGCCGTTACTTGGCACCGCGCCCTTGGCGCCCACGCGCACGAGTTCCGTCACGAAGTCGTTTGTGATCTGGTAGTTGCCGCGCTCGAGGCCCTTGACGAGGATGGCGGCCGCCGCGTCGCAGCTGATCGGCGCGTCACCCTCCTCGATCTTCTGCGTGATCTTGGGCTTGGTCTTGTTCTCCTCCTCGTAGCCGGGTGACAACATGCCCGCCGGCATGTACAAGTGCACTTTGATGCCAAACATGAGCAACTCGTTGCGGAGCGTATCCGCGAGACCTAAAATCAGCGGAGCCACTGGACTGCAGAAACAGATGCAACTCGGAAACTCACCACGCAGGGCAAACTTGCCGGGTGTGTAAGTCGTGTATCCGGCGAACGCTGTGTATCCGAGGAAGGAGGACACGAACGTAATGGAACCCTGCACCTTCTGCTTGACCATCATCTGCACCGCCGCCTGGAGTCAGCTTCCGCAGTGCTCGGCGCTCGGAGCTCACATGCGCAGTCCACGCCGAAACCCAGTACACGCCGTCAAAGTTCTGCGATCAGCACCCCCCCTCTACAACGCTTACGCTCTTAAGGTCCTCAGGCTTCGCGTCGATGAAGAGCATGGGCCGCGCCATACCGGCGCACAGGAAAACATGGTCAGGTGCACGCCCGCCAAACGCGGCGGCAGCGTCGCTCAGCGCGCGTGCCGACGACTCTTGGTCGGACAGGTCGGCGTTGACGAAGAGGACCTTTTGCTCAGGCTTGGCCAGGGTCTGATGTGAGACAGTGCGCACGTGCGGAAGCGAGCGAGCACGGATGAAGGCTGCGCGCGACTAGGACTACAGAACGTACCTTGAGCTCCTCGACTGTCTCTTGTGCGCGTTGAACGCCACGGGCCACAATTACGACGTGCGCGCCACGACGCACAAGCTCAGCCGCGAGCGACTTGCCGAGGCCTGCGGACCCGCCGGGGACGTAGCAGAACTGGTGTCAGTACGCGTCTGTGTCTGTGCGCGGCCAGAGGAAAGGCAGCGAGGACGGCATAACGGTAACAGTAAGAACGGCGACAATGGCGGCGGCGCGAAAGGCGTAGGGCAGCGTCGGCAGGCCTTCATGCGCCTACCTCCAAGCTGTCTCCTATCTCCTGAAGGCCAGTGGCGACGACCACACTCTGACACCCTCACCATGTTCCGCACACACTCACCTGACCTGCGGGATTGAAGCGCTTCTTGCCGAAACCGAACATGATAACGCTGGCGAGAAGGGCGGCGACGGCGGCCAAGACGGGGATCATGGTGATACCGAAGGAAGGAGAATTCTGGTCGCGGACCGTGGTCCCAAGTGGTCTGCTCCGGTGGAGGCAGGTGGGAGGCACGGGGCGTCGCAATATGTGCGGCTATCGGGCAATCGGTATGCTTTGTGCCGGCGCAGCTTCTGGCGACAACCCTGCGCCTTCGACAGGTCTACCTACTTTGCATGCATGAGGTCCTGGGTGTTGGTTGCATGCTAGATTTTGGTCCTCCCCGCGGACCAGCGCATGCACACACAGCCGTCGTATATAATAACAAGCTTTCAATTGAGCAGCACCCGTGTACCCGCGCGTGTTTCGTCTCCGCGTCATGTCGCAAACCTCCATCCACCCCTCCCGACCCGCCAAGCAACAACCATACATCCTAACAATATACCTAAAGGAGTGTCCGTTGACTGGGCGACAGCAGGGTCTACCTGCAGGCATGCGCACCAGTACACGCCGTCCGCCCAGCAATGGTGGTGGTGGGTAAAACAGCTGGCTAGTGCAGGTGGGGAGGCCATACACGCATCTACTTGGTGGGGAGGTCGAGGAAGATGAAAGCAAATGCGTGTGCATGTGCGCAGCTCGCGCCTTTTGACACGCACCGTGGACACATTTACTGCGTCCAGGGTTCGAGGCAGCTGACGGGAACAACGCCGCGGTTGTGCGCGTCGTCCTCGCACAGGCACCAGCCGTCGTCGTAGGTCGTGTGCAGGTAGAGCTGCTGGCCTTGGGTGATGGCTAAAAACGGGGTCAACACGGTCACAGCATAAAGATGTCGAGGAGAACTCACCAAGCTCGTCCTCAAGGGAGCGAACGAAGCCGACCTTGACGCGAACCATCATGCCATCGTGAAGACCCTCTGGGACGTTCGAGCCTGAGGCAACTGCCCCAGCAGCGGCAGCACCTGCGACGCCGGCGGCGCCGGCGACACCAGCCGCGACGGCAGCACCGTTGTGACCCGCAGACGAAGCAGGGGGCGACATCGGGTGAGGAGCATCCGCGGGGTTCTGGATGGGCGAAGTGGGACCCTCAAAGCCCTGCTGCTGCTGGACGCCGTAGGCACCAACGCCAGCAGTGGCCATGCCGGCACCGACACCAGCGGCGCCAACAGCAGCGCCATCGGGGTAGCCAGCAGCAGCGAACTGGCCCTGGTTGGTAGGGTATGGCCCATACGCACCAGCGTCAGGGTACTGCTGGAAGCCTCCCTGCTGGTAGCCATAGTTGGGGTCAAACTGGTCGGCACCGGGAGGGAACGAAGGCTGAGTGTCCATGGGGTACGCCTTCTCGTAGCCGGGGTCCTCGGTCGCGACGGCCGTCTGCCAGGGCTCGAACATGGAGGAGCGGTTGGCGGTACGGCGAGCACGCGAGCGGCGACGGAGGTAACCGGTAGCAAGGAAGGCGATCAGACCAAGACCAGCGAGAACACCAATGACAATGCCGGCAATCTGCAAGGAGGGTGGTCAGTGAAAGTGCTTTGAAACATGCGCTCGGCGCTTGGAAAGGAAGAACTACTCACAGCACCGCCGGAGAGGCCCGAGCTGGATCCGGTCCCGGCGCTGGCAGCGTCGGCAGACTGGCTGGCACGGCCCGACGTGTTAAGAGCAGGGCCGCTCTGGTTGACAGTCCTGGTCTGGGTGAGGGTAGAGGTGGACGACTGGGAGAAGGAGAGCGAAGCACTGGCGGAAGACGAGGACGATCTGGTGCTGGTCACCACGACAACCGAGGTCTGGCTGGAGGGGGCGGCCGAAGAGGTGACAGATGACGAGGCCGGCTCAGATGTAGAAGGAGGGGCCTCGGTGGTCGAAGGAGGCTGCTGAGTAGATGGCTGCTCGGTGGTGCTGGGGGAGGGCCTCTCCGAGGAGGATGGAGGGGGCGGAGTGTTGCTTGACGAAGGGGTAGGCCTCTCGGAGGACTGAGGAGGGGGGGCAACCGACGACTGCTGGGGCTGCGAGGGGGACGGCGCGGCCGGCGCGGGTGGACCAACGGCTCCAGTCACGGCAGTCGACATGATGGCTGATTTGGCTGGAGTGGCAAGAGAGAAAGATGGAGGAGGATGCACGAGGACGTAGTAAAGATGCAAAGGATGGGACAATGAGGGGAGGCGCGGAGGCGTCAGCACGGACAAAGGGGTGGAAAGGGAGGGGAGTCATTGCACCGCCGTCACTCGCGCTCCTCTCCTGTTCAAGGCCAAGAGTCGCGACGCCACCGCGGTTGGGGTAGGAGTGATGATTTGTGATGTTGTGTCATGACGGGAAGTTGGTTTGTAATATACTGACCTTGTTTGATAGAAGAGGAGAAGACGAGTCAAGAGAGACAAGAGTAGCACAAGCTGTTGATAATGTGTGCGTGTGACCGTGGGGGCTTTAGCGTGTAGGTGCGGGGGAAGTGCAGGGGTGAAGAAGAGAAGGATGGGCGTTGGGAGGTGTGAGATGGCCGAAGGAGGAGTGAGAGGAGGAGAATGGGGGAGTAAAGAGCGACGGAGCAGAAGGGCGGGGAGGAGGAGGGGAGCTGGAGGAGATGGATGATGATGAGAAGGGAGTGAGAGATGGCGAGTTGCCATTCATTCGAACGACGAGCAAGGAGAGCATCTCACGCGTGGGGGGTGGAGAGAGACGCGATGTGGGTGCTGTGTGTGGCCGCCGGGATGAGGCACGGCGTACGGCCAGAGGGAGCATCCATCCAGGCGCAAGACGAGACCGAGCACAGACTGTTGTTTGGTGCTGGTGCCCTAAAAAAGTCCACTACAGATCCTGAGCCCCTCAATCTCGCCCTGATGAGTCTGCACTCCCTCTCCTCTGATGCCCCTCCAAGCTGCCACCCCCGTTCTTCGTCCCTGTCTTCCCATTCAAGACATGTTCCTGAGTTTCCGGTCCGGCCTTGGCTTACATGCACTCACATGCCGCGCATGCCCCCTCCTCCGGTCCTTCGGCACGTCTCCACACCCGCGTCACCCCCCCCCCCTTTTCCTCCGCCTCTCCTCCGTTGCTCTTCATATCTTCATCCCTCGGCATCCCTCGGCGTTCGAATCGCCTCGGCCAGGCCATCCGAACCCTGCCTGCGGTGTGCGGCGTATGTACAGTACAGCTGCGTGCAAACTGCGCCAGGTAGCGGCTTGGGTAGTTGGCATGCATGAGTGGGGCCGATGGGGGACTAATTGGATTTTGAGCAGTAGCAGAGTTGAGCCTTCATCAAGATCCTCAAGGCACTGCAGGGAGACAACCCAAGATCAAGACGCGTCTCTTCCTGGATAAACGTAAACATGCACATCCATCCGTCACTCGTCCCCCTCTCTATCCCTTGGTTGCGCGTTCCGACACGCCAAAACAAACAATCCACCCTCCCTCCCTCCCCCCCCCCCGTTGAGTCATAATGACAAGTCACGCTCCGAGTTCATGCTCGACACTTTGTCACTCTCATAACACCAAGCAATGTACTGTAATTAGGTAGATTGCTCCGTGGCGTTGGCCGCGCCGGCCACACTTATGACATCGGCCGAGACCATGGCGGCGTGTGGGCTTGTACGTCTCCCTCGCCAGGGACTCTTCACACCCACGGAAAGAATGGACGCCATCATTAAGCGCAGCTTCGGCTTCGCCGCCCCGAGGTTATCTGTCAGAGATCCACCCGATCCAACCGACCCAGCGGCCCCTCTCTCCTTCCCAGCTTCCCATAGCATCGTCTCCCAAGCGCATGACGGTAAACCCCGCCCGATCGCTGATCCATGTTTCCAGGAAGAGCGTCAGCTGCTATTAGCTTTCTTCGAAGTTGAGTGGGGACGTGACTGTCGCGTGATGGCGGCGTGAGTCTGCGCGACAGCAAACATATTCAATGATGTAAGAGGTCACGCGCAGCTTCCGCTGAAGAGAGACGACAGGAGGCGGGAGCCATATGTAACCTCGCCGCCGTCGACCCCAGGCGTCACAGCATATCATCCCCTGGCCCGGATGTTTGGGTACTCAAATCTGTATCACCTCGGTCCGACTCACCACTTCAGGTGACCGCTTTTCCACAACCACCCAGGCTACGGCTCCTCGTGAGCAAGCAGCTGCAAGTGTGTCGACGAGCGGCTGCACCAGGTGCTCGTTGTAGATGCAGTCGACCCCGAGCACCAGATCGGCGTCTGCGCCAGGCGAACCAGCAGGCAACGCGTACGTCTCCCCTTTGACCTGCGCTCGAGCACGTGCTGCCGAGACTTGCTCCCAGTCAAGCTCCTCTGTAGTCGCTGGCGATCGGTTCCCGTCCAATATCTTGGACGCAATCTTGACGGTCGCAGAGGCATTGTTAGCCACGTTCCGTTGCACCAGCTTCAGATTCTCCCGCCGGTCAGTGGCCGTATACTCCGCTGTCAATGGAGCGATGAGAGACGCAAGAACGCCAGTGCCGGCCCCTAGCTCGAGAACTTTAGCCGATGCGAGCGCCTGCATGGATAAAAGCGGGGCGACCGGAGGAAAGATGGCCTGCGTAAGAATATGTCGGGCGAGGTGGAGGCTGGCGTGAGCTAGGACGAACGCTCCGCCGAGGCGAGGGGGAAGGTGGACGAATGTGTAGTGGTACATACCTACTTCGCCAGAGCACACTGCCAGTCTCGCCGCTGCGGCTCCGCAGTGCTCCTGGGTCTTGTGTCACGACGATGTCGATGGAAACGCCTTCGACCGCCTTGGCCTTCTCCTTCCGCCTCATGCGCCGCTTCCCAGCATGCTCGTCAGACGCTGCTTCTGTAGCTGCGGGGACGAGCTCGAGGGTTAGCGATAGCTCGGGCGCGCGACCATCGAGGTAGCCCAGGCCGCCCGAATGCTCGCCAATGCCGATGTAGAGGTCCATAATCTGGTGTAAGCGACAGTGTGGTGACAGGGAGGGAAGGTGAGAAGACTGTTGGATGAGTCCATGACAGACGATGGTGCCGTCCTGGGCACCGGCCAGATCCCCTTCAGGCGCAGATGCGGCGAGCGCTGCACTTACCTCTTCATCGAAGTCCTCGACAAGAACCGCGTCGCCGAGCGTGGCAAAGAGGCCGCCCGGAGGCGCAAGGATGGCCATGAGAGTGTGAGGGATGTAAGACAGCTCCCGTCTGAGAGGCAAATTCGGCTGGGCGACCTCCACCTTCACCTCCACCCCCACCACATCTTTACTCTTGCCAGACGCTCAGGGAAGACGGGGTGCGTTACAATATTACTCTGAATGGACACGTCGTCATTATTGCTTCTGGTCAGGACCGGAAAGTGAGGTGAAAATCATGAATTTGCCTCCGTTTAGTTTTCTGTTCTGGAAGGGTTATGGGGGTTATATGGGGTTAGGGGGCTATGGGGTTAGGGGGTTATATGGGGGTGCCGGTATTGGGTATTTTCAAAAAAATCGGACCCTGCAGGGTTTCAGGGTACCATCTGAAAGCCCTTCGGGAGGGCTTTCAGACGCACCATGGGAGTCAGGGGAGTCAAGCTTAGTTTACGAGCTACGGGCCCTGGAAGTTGGTAGCATCAGGTCACCCACTGACTTTCACTTCCTTGTATGAGTATCTCGCCAGAATCCTTCGGGTGTGACCCTAGTGCTCTCAGGGTCTTCAGGGGTGTCAGGGGCCGTCAGTGAACTCTATCTGTCAGGGTATTTAGGCATAAGTCCGTACCCACAAGCCTTGGAAGACGTTCACAGCAGGGCCTATGGTGGAGATGGCAGTGAGCCTTGAGGCGTCGGTCACCCCTCATCCATTGGTTCAACCCGCAGACTCAGGGATGTCAGGGACACATGGTTCACTTTCCTTGAGAGGGTACGTTAGCTTTGATCATGGGCTATGCACCTTGGCCAGTCATGCAGCTTCTGGTGAGTGGTGAGTGTGATTCATTCCGACTGTTTCCTACTTGGATACGTACTACAGCACTACAAACCGAGGCAGGAGGAGGTTCTCGTAGTGGTACCTGTGAAGGTAGAACCAGAAGACCCGGCGCTGGGGTGGGTGGTCATTGACCCCCATCCAGCTGAATTGATGGTTTTCGTCCTTGAGCACCATGACAGTGACACTGAAGGCCTTGCACACTGCCTGGAGGGTGAGGTTATCACCATAGCACCCATCCTGTGCCATCTCATGGAGGTAGGTGTCGAGAGTGAGCTGCTTACCATGCCGGAAGGGGAGGAAGTTGACAAAGTCTTGAGGGTGAGAGCGCATCCACTCGATGGCCTTGCCTCTGACCTCTGTGTGGAAGATTGGGTTGGGCCAGGCCTTGGCAAAGGCATGGAACATACAGTTGCCGTCACCCTTGATCCATGTGGTCCGGTAGGTAGGGGGGTCAGAGTTGAGATGGATGACCTGCTGGGATGGGACCCCAGTGATGGTGGGGGTAGGGTTGAGTGGAGCCAGTAGCTGACTGTCAGTGGTGGATGTGGAGGTATCACCCACATAGTTGTCCCGAGTGACAGGAGCAATAGCAGGCAGGACTGGGGCAGCCACTGGGTGGAACCCCAGTGCCTCCTGGCTGACATGGCCATCCTGTACGAGCTGGGCGAACCATTCAAATGCTTGTTTGGTGGTCAGTCTGTCCTTGCATGTTTTGAGTGGACACCTGAGCTTGAGGCCGCCCTTCCATCCGTGGACGTTGTACCGATGGCTTCCACCACCTGTGTCGGCCTTCTTGCAGGGTATGATGCCGCCCTTGCCCCTGATGATGTTGAGCAGGTCCTCGATCTCAGGGCGGGTCTTGTAGGTGGCCTTCATGTGGGCCAGTAGACTGGTATCCTGTTGTCAGTCATGTCCCACTTTGGAGCTCACGGTTGGCTCTGCAGCCAGGGCATCCCAGCCAGTAATGGACTGCACATCCTCTTGGTCTTGTGCCGGAATCTCTTGCTGCACGGATAAGTACATGGCCTTGTGTGGACTCACAGTGCCATGGAGCAGGTCCAGTCCTAGGCATTGAAGAGGAACATGGCCTCGATCAACAAGTTTCGCACACCACTGGAAGGCCTCAGCCTCGTACAGATTGTGGCGGCATTGCTTGCACCTAAGTCGGATGGGATGGCCCCCAACAAGCCAGTACCTGTGGCCATCTTGAATTCCACCCTCCTGGCAAGGAATGGCCTTGGATGCACTCTGCTGCCGCAAGATTGCAATCATCTTGGCAGAGGCTTCCTTTGACTGGTAGTGGGTGGTCAGGTGGGCCAAGATGGTGGCAAACCGGTCGTGGACCAGTGGTTGATGCTCATCAGGCAGGTCATCCTCTCTCCACCAGGCAGATGGGTCAAGGGATTTGGTGAGACGGCGCTTGCCACCGTTCCAACCAAGTGATGCAAGGAGGTCATTGACAACCTGCTTCTGCTCACTGGTGGCCTTGGCGGAGTCACGTCCAGTGAGTTGGCCAGTGTCAACTGCACGCTGATTGACCCAGCGAGCATTTGCTAGCAGGCCACGCTTGTCCACCACCTTGACTTCCACCATCTTGGTAGAGCCATTGACCTGGCCGATCCACCAGTTGATGTTGAAGAAGGGCAATGTTGTGGCCAGCTTCTCTGCGTCCTCAAGTGTCGACGCAGTCAGGGTGACTTAGGGGGTTAGG